GGGAGGGAGGGAGGGAGAGGGAAAGGGAGGGAAGGGAGGGAAGGGGAGGGAGGCAACGGAGCGCAGGGAGGGAAGGGGAGAGAGGGAAGGGAGGGAAGGGAACTCAGTCTCTCTCTCTCTCGCTCTCTCTTTCTCTCTCTTTCTCTCTCTCTTTCTCTCTCCGTCCGTCTCCGTCTCCGTCTCCATCTCCATCTCCGTCTCCGTCTCCGTCTCCCTCCCTCCCTCTCTCTCTCTCTATATATATATGTACACATGCACATATTTAGTTACTTCGCTGCTGAAGTACATGTGTTGGTGCACTCCTTTACCTTTCGTTCTTCATAGCATGTTTCCTGCTCTCCCCCTTCTAAGTCTCATTCCCACAACTGGCCAGGAAGCAACGTCTTCGCACACCCGCTGCTGTGATGCAGGAGTTTGTGAATCGTAAGGTCCAGGCTTCGGGGTTTTCGGACGTCTTATCAAGGAGCCCGGCTCAGAGCCCCGACCTCTAGACCTCGAGACCTCAAGCTGCTACCTCCCTCGCTTGTTCGCGGTCGGGCGCAGCACAGAGATCTCCGGCTGTCTGCGTGATGTTCCTGTGGCTTCTGGGATGTGGGATACCGGGCTCAGGGTCTTCGCTTAGGGCCACTGTCGCCATTGACTTCCCTTGAATCTCAAGAAATCCGGCTCCAAGGCAGATGTCCCTCGTGCACGGCTTCTGATTCTGAGATGTGTGCCAGCCTCGCGCTGAGGGCAGAGGAGTCGCCCACGGTTTCTGTACAAATCCTCGGACCTGCTAAGCTTTGTTTCCCATGAGTCAACATACTGGTCTATTGGATGTGGCTCGGCGGACATAGCTGGGGAGTCAACACGTGGGGGGAGTAAACAAGTGGGATGCAAGCAAGGGCCTCGCGCAACCCGTCTCCAAGAGACGAGAGTCTGCTGGGTCCAGATCCTCTTTAGCGAACTCGCAGGCAAGGCTTACCCTGGTCTTTCGAAGCTAGGCCGATGCCTCGCGGCCTTGCGGCAAACACTGCCCGGCATGTCCTAGATGTCCACGGGACCTGCAACTGCGAAGCCCCAACCTTGCCGACTCTACTGACCAGATAGAGCAGATGCAGCAGCCTCCGAGTCCACACACACAACCCGGTACCTTAGCTCCTGCAGCGAGCTGTGCTTGATGTTTTCGCACCGAAAATCAGGTCCAGGGAACTAGACAGGAGAGCCAGCAAGCTGGCATCGCCCGGCAACAGCGGCCAGCGGCTGGGACAAGAAGTTCTTCACTACAGTTCTGTGTTTGGCGACGGAAAACCAACAGCCATGGCTGCTGCGGTGATGCCAATTGTCGCTGCAGACTCCCGTAAGCAGTGTTGCTGCCTGAATAAAACGCCTTTGCAACTTCTGGCCAGACGTCATCCCACGAGGATCCGCACGAGCGCTTTCGGTTTGCAGCATTTCGCCTTCTTATCCAGCTTTATAACCAGCTCGACAACAAGTCGAATTAATTGCTTGGATCTTAGTTTGTTTCTTTGCACATCGGACAAGTGCTTGGACAAGATTGGAAATTGGGTTTGCAGCCTCCGATGGCTCCTGTCAGTGCTTGTGAGGATTGTTGAGCTACCTAGATGGGTTTCGCTTCTTCCGACAGCAAGGTCACAGAGCAAGGGGCAACATGGTCATCCACGATGGTTCAAGCGTCGACGTCAATATGAGAATAATTGTGGTTTTGGCGGCAGGTGAAGAAGCCGGCATGAGCTATGCGCTCGAAACAGGAAGTCTACGTATAGTTAGTGCTTCCAAACAGCATAGATCCTGCACTTGAGTAGATGCTTGCCCTCGTGCCGCCCAAAGCCACATGTCCGACTTAGCAACCTGCTGCAGTCCGCTGATGGCCAGTCCTTCCAGAAGGGTGTGCTTCACACGCGGCACATTGTGCAAGCAAAGATCCAGACACGACATAGAATATGTGGCATGGAAAACGCGCAATTCTTCCATTTGTGTTTCTTCAGCTGCAAGCTGGGCAGGTGTTGAAGCCGTATCTGAGGCAGTTGCACAGACTTGTTGCTCACGAACTTCATCGGTTTGAGGTTTCATTCGATGAGCATCAGGCTGCAGACGAGCGCTGTCTTGCCCGCTTCAACTCCGACACTCGCTTTGCCATTGCCAGTGGCCAGTCGCTGTTCTTGTCCGATGCTTGGTCAGAGCAGCTTGACCAATGCGTCACGATGGGCTCACGATACGTCTTGTATTCGCATGGCTTGGTGGACAGCCAAAACTGGGCAAGGGGCTTTCGGTCCGTGGGTCCTCCAGGCAAGAAACTGATGGAGATCTGGGGAACCCAGCTGCATACGCCTGTCCTTGAGCAGCTGAACTCCATGAGCTCGGCGCGCCTGCTCAACTTATCTGTGATCGGTGTATGTGTGCCAAATACGTGCTTGCGAAGGTCCGAACTGCTGCTCGGGTGGCATGTCCTTCTCTTAAAGCTGGGGCATCCGAAGGGTGCCTTGCAATTGCCAGCACCGATACGGAGCCGAGTCCGTTTGCGGGCGAGCCACACTCAGGATGCGTTGAGAGCATCGCAACTGAAATCCCTCTTGGAACAGAAAGATGATCGGAAGCCTTCTTGGTACCTGAATCCATCTTCATGGCGTGTGCGTCCTGCTCGCTCCGCCTTCGCTTCCCGGGCACTGACTCAATATTACTTCCGCTTCAGGTGGTCGTTGTATACGTATCGAATGCATGTTAGCCAGAAGCACCGCTATGCTCTTTGTTCTGTACCAAAGGTGGGTCTCATGCAGTTTTTCCTCTTGGATCATCATTTCCATCATCGGAATGTGACCTATGAAGACATCATCCAGCCAGAGTCGCGTGGATCGGACCGCTTTGTTCACTCGCGCGCTTGCTACCACTACTGGAGGAGTCCGACTTTCAAGTTCGTCGCATTCGTGCGGGATCCGTTGGAGCGCTTCCTTTCAGCGTTCCTTGACAAATGCATGCAGAGTTCGAGAAACTGTGAAACGGACCGAGAGGGATGGGAAGGCGTGAGCTTGAAGAGCTCGCGAAAGGAGCAGATCGCCGCCTTTCGCCTCTTTGCAAAGCAGCGGCTCCCGAGTCCCCACATGCTCATCGACGACCACTGGATTCCTCAGAGCATCTTTCTGAACGAGGGCTGCCGCTTCACTTTCCAGCGTGTCGACTTTGTAGGGCTTTTGACGGCAGACCGAAACGCAGTAAACTGGCAGGTCTTCGAGATGTTGCATGCTGTCTTTGGCTTTTCGCTACAGAGGTCATCGCGTCTGGCAGATGAGTACTTTCCCGGGACAGGTTATGCCAGCGAAGGTGCAGCGCTGCACACGAATACCTACCATGACCGCACAATGTCGATCTTCAGCCAGTTTTACAACCAGGACTGGGATTGGACAAGTTAGCACGACATATTGCACTGGCCATGAGCAGCTTCACACAATGGATCTCTTGATTCCCGTTGGCCACTACAGGTATTCGTGTCACTAGTCAGCGCCGCTTCGTAAGAGACCACTCCTGGAACCACTCCTGGACCCCCAGGACACGCTGGAGAACGTGCTGCGGTACACCGCCCAGGCCTTGGGCCCTCGGTGCAAACTCTGTCTCTACCCTGCTGCACATTCATGGTAAAAGGTGATGTAGATGGAGTGTCGCGGGGTGCAGTCACTGATGTCGTCTGATTGCAGGACTATGCCGCCTTTGGCTTTCGCCTGCCAGCTTGGACAGAGGGGATCACGAATCGGACATCGTGGTGGTTCTGAAGGGCTTTGAGTGCCCACTGCAGGGCCGAGCAAGGCAAAGCAAGATGTCTGATGTCTTGTGCCATGCCACGATGTTGCCATGTCGGACACATGAACCGCGGCGAGAATGGTGGTGGGTGCCGCGGTGCTTTTCTGCTCATCAGGGCGGTGCCAGCTCGGGCACGCCACGAGCAAAGTCTGAGCCGCTGGCTGTGTGCAGTGTGGCAGTTGAAGGAGTGCTATAAAGGCTCTACAGGGGGTTTGTTCTGCAAAGCTTTTATGCTTACCTGCTTATCATTAGTGTACATGTGATGTAGCGTTTGGGTTCCCATTGCCACCACCAGTACATTTAAAGCCTCTGCATCAAGGTTTCTCTGTGCTGCTTATGGTCATCCTTCGAATTTCTGGCGGGCAGACGGGGTCAGGTACGGCTTGGGCAAGCTTCGAGTTCAGAATGCAAAACCCTGTTTGCAGGCCCGAGAGCAAGTTCTAGCGCTTTCCGGTCCGAAGCCTTGACAATGAGCATGTGCGCGATCGAGGGAAATGCCCGAATCCCCATGGACTGAGCCCTGCACCTCGAAGGCTCTGAGCCCGACGGCGGGTACGAAGTTCCTTTCGGATCGGCTTTTCCTCGGCTCAAGAGCTGGGGCCGGGCTGTCGGGCTGTCGGGCTGTCGGGCTGTGCCGGTGCCAGCCTGGCCCACAGTTTCGAGCCCTGTCGTGTCTGTCGTGTTGGCATTTTGTAGACGGTTGGAGCGCTCTACTAGAGCTGCAGATCACGCCCAGGCGGCACTCGGGCTGCCACTATGGCAGTGCGGTCACTGCCAGCGCCCCACGCGAATACCCGGAGTAGCCGATGACCGGTCTGACATCGGTTTGTTCGGCCTCACTTCCACTTGCTGCACTTTTCACATGCGTCTCTTTCAGCAGACTTTCGTGGCTCTGTTTGACGAGACCTGGGCTTCAGGGCTTTCGGGTTTGCCATCCATGGCTTTTGAGGTCCATGCCTTTGTTTTCGAGTCCGATGTCTTACCTGGCCCGCTTTGCAGACATCAATCTTTACCTTGGTCCTTGTTGTTCTAGGGCTCAGGCTCGGACATGCTTGATGGTCTCCATTCACTGGTTGGCCTATCCGCACAGCTGATGTCTGATTTGATTGTCCTGCAAGTTTGACCTGTAAGCGTTTGAGTGCCAACGACATGGCATCGTCTAATCCTCGATTTGCTTGAACTCCACAGCCTCCGACAACCTGGAAGCATGTGCCGTTCAATTTCCCGAGATGAACGTCCGAGGCCTCTGACTCTCACGACTGGCAGCTCCCCACCGACGTCGAGGACAGAGCTGGATCCGGTAACAGGCCGCATCCCGGGATTTCGGCACAAGTACGACTTTTTTGGACAGGCAACCGCAAGCAGGCCTACATCACAGTCTTGGATCGGGATGGAGCACCACTTTCCAGGGATGTGGAATTGAATAGCGTTGTGAGGCGGATTGGGGTGCACAGTCTAAGCCCTAGACATTTTGAAAGTTCTGGGTGTCCTTCAATCTCGCCAAAAGGCTGGCAAGCTCCTTTGGCAGGCCGGCCGCAACTCCGCGTAAGCCTGGACTTGGACTTGAAGTTCGACATTGCCACACTCGTACCCCCGCCTCACTTGTGTGGTGAAAGATTTGTGTCGATGCATGAGGCCTGCGGCTGAATTGAGGTTCGTTAGACTGCCGACACGGGTTTATTGGGAAGAGTTTGGCCGAGTTTGCAAAGCGAAGAACGGCGAGGGTGCATTGTAGTAAGACAGTAAGAGGTGTCCAGTCAGTGAAGCCTCAAGCGAAAAACGGTATGGGTCGAGAACATGCATTTTTTCAAAGCGGCAGGTGGTGTGCCTTAAGCAGCAGTCCAAGAGCACTTACGACCACTCACCACGCGAAAGATTGCGCTGAACAAGCTCCTGCCAGCGATGCAAGCGAGATGGTGGACAGCCCCAGTAACACAGAGCGAAGCTACTTGTTGACGATCCCAGCAGTGTCTTTCCCATGCTTGAAGACCGAGCAAGGCTTGCCCGTCAGACGCTTTCGAAGTCTTGGTGAAACGTCCCCAGACTGTCTTCCCACTGCCAGCACTTCAAACATCCTTCATTCCCCTTATGTGAAGAGCCAGGTTGAACTTCTCTTCAATGTGGCGAAGGCTCGGGTGTTCACTCGGACTTGGGTTTGAGGGATGCAGAAGATGACGACGCCGCAAGCCTCGAAAGAGTTTCTTTACCCGCTGTCCGCTTCATCGCGTGCAGGATGTCCAACACAGCAAGCCCTCGGAAGGTGCCAAAGAGACCAAGGCAAGGCGTGTCACCACTGAGGCTTTGGGAAGTCGTTGAAAGTTCCACATGCAAGGAGAAGAAGCTGTCGGAAGCCGAAGAAGAGCCGACGCCCCGGCCGGCGCCGGCGCCATCTCCCGAGAGGCCCAGGGAGGCTCGCCGTGTAGCTTGCGCAGTGTCGAAGCAAGAACACAAACTAGCGACCTACTGGTAGCAACACTTCGCCTTATTGGGCTCCCGGAATCGGTGCGTCTCAGGGCTCGGAGCGGCAGGCGCTGAAGCCAACCCTGCATGATTGGGCAGTGCTTTAATGAGCTTCAAGTTTGCTTGGTTCCAGGGCTGCCGGGACTCACGCGAAGCTGGCAAGATGCATACGGGGGCCACATTCTTCAATATTCAGCTCCAGGGATCGGCCTCCTCCTCCATCGCCATCACCATCATCATCACCATCACACCATCACCATCACCATCACCACCATCACTATCACCATCACCATCGCCATGACCATCATCACCATCACCATCACCATCACCATCACCATCACCATCACCATCACCATCACCATCACCATCACCATCACCATCATCACCATCACCATCACCATCACCATCACCGCCATCACCATCACCATCATCA